TCCCCTCCCAGTCCCAGGGTCTCCTCTGCCCCCGTGGGGCCCTCCCACGCCCTGGGGCTCGGGGACAGCGGGAAGTATCCCCAATCCCCCTTTTCAAAAAAAAGGCCCAGCACTGCACTGGGACAGGATGAACCACCTTGAGTCTCCCTCCCACTCCCCCGTGCCTCAGTTTCCCTGGGCTCTGTGCCCCCAGGCCGCGGTGGGGAGACCGTGAGAGGCATCTGCCGCAGCTCCGGGGCCAAGGTGCAGTGCGAGCGTGAGCCCGAAGCCCGAAGCCTCCCTGTGCCCGGTGCGTGTCATCCAGCTCTTCGGGACACGCAGTGAGGTGGCAGCAGCCAAGGTGAGTGGGGAGCAGTGGGGCTGGGGGTGCTTCCCCCCCCAGATCCAACCTCTGCTCTCCACCTGCTCCCAGAAACTCATCCTGGAGAAGCTGACGGAGGACAACGCATTCCACAGGGAGCTGGAGCAGTCAGCAGCCACGAGATACCCCCGGAAACAGGCCCTGGGCAGCCGCAGGGACCCCCAGGAGGCATTTCCCGACGGGCTGCAGGAGCACAGGGAGGAGCTAGGGGGCTGGGAGAGCGTGAAGGGGTCGCTCCCCCGCCAGGGCCCCTGCCAGGAGCCAGAGGACCGGAACGAGGAGCTGGAGGAGCCAGAGGACGGGAACCTGGAGCTGGAGATTGGGAATGAAGACCTGGAGACAGAGCCAGAGGATGGGAATGAGGAGCACTCGGTGCCAAAATTTGAGAGTGAGAGAAGCACTGGTATTATCCCCGGGATGTGGGTGGGAATTGGAGGGGTGGGAGGGTGTTCCAGGGTCACACCAGGAGTGGTTGTAGCGGTGCTGGGTCAGCTGTGGGTGGCAGCTCTGTCCCTCACTCCTTCCTCCCACGTGCCTGTCCCGCAGTTCCCAGCCCGGATTTCAGCTTCCAGGCTGATGAGCACCTGGAGGTTTATGTCTCGGCCTCAGAGAATCCGAGTCACTTCTGGATCCAGATCATCGGGAGGCGTGTCCTGCACCTGGACAAGCTGACGGTGGAGATGCGCCAGTACTACCAGAGCAGCCCCACCGTGAGCCCCCCATGTGTCCCTCCAGGCCCAGCCCCTGTCTGTCCCCATGTCCCAGCTCTGTCCCCATGTCCCCGTGTCCCAGCCCTGTCCCCGTGTCTCCCCAGGCCCATCCCGTGTCCATCTGTGCCGGTGACATCGTGGCGGCTCCGTACCGGGACGATGACACCTGGTACCGCACGCGTGTGCTGGGGCTGCTGGACAACGGCAACTGGGACCTGTACTACGTGGACTTTGGGGACAACGGGGAGGCTCCAACCGAGGCCCTGCGGCCCCTGAGGTCAGCAGGGGGCACATTCCCAGGATAGCACCATGTCCAGGTCGGGAATTCTGGGAATTCCCTCATCGTGGCTTTGTCCTTCCAGGAGTGACTTCCTGAGCCTTCCATTCCAGGCCATCGAGTGCAGCCTGGCTGGCATCAGCCCTGCCGGTGAGTGGGGATGGGACACATCCCTGCCCCGTTCCTGCAGTGATCCAGACCCTGATCCCAGCGTTTCCCACAGGGAACACCTGGGAAGAGGCAGCTCTGGATGAGTTCGACCGCCTCACGCACTGTGCCCAGTGGATACCGCTGGTCGCTCGCATTTCCAGTTACTCCCAGTCTGGGCTGTGCCCCATGCCCAGCATCCACCTCTTCACTGAGCGCTCTGGCCAGGTGAGCCCCCAGCCCCTCATTCCCACCACCCCGGCCCTTCCCAGCATTCCCGCTCCCGTGTTTCCCTGCAGAGCCTGGATGTGGGAGCGGAGCTGGTTCGCTTGGGCTGGTGCGCTTGGGCTACGCCGTGCCTGTGCCCCCCCAGGGCCCGGAGGGGGGACAGAGCCCCCCAAGACCGGAGGAGACCGCGGTGAGCTGCTCCCACTCCCACCCACATTCCTGGGATGCCCTCCCGGTGTCCCCCGGGGATGGCTCACACTGCTCTTCTCTGCCCAGGACA